ACATTCTACTTATTTGAATTTTGATTTCTGACTGTGATCCAGTTAAACACAAAATGAAGCCCCAGGCCATGCTAGGCAGAATCTAAGATGCCCTATGATAACAACCGCTTCTAGTAAGTGCACAAGGAGGTTTAGTTCACTGCCACCTTATGGAGTCAATGATCCAAGAGGCAGAGTGACAGAGAAACAAAGGGTGTTACTAGGAACAAGCTGGCTTTTTGCCTTCAATGATCATCTTACCCTTTTCCTTAAGAATCTTTTATATGACTTTTCAAGGGAAGATGTGCAGGACCCAGATAGAGAGGTGCCTCAGTTTTTCAGTGTTTTGAAAAATAGCCTCTTCTGGAATGTGGGCTGTATATATCTTACCTCTTTCATGTAGGTTGATGAGAGTTGCAGTCCAGTGGATCTAAAGGGCCTAAAGCGAGCAAAGGAAAATATTGAAATGACTTGTATCTGATTTTTGTTGTGATCACTATTTCTGGCAAGTACTCTTCCACTTTTGAATTTCTCTCACAACTTGGGACTAGGAAGTATTTGGTAAGGGAGATTTGTGCATCTCTAGCTAACTTTAGAGTATGGTTAATCTATAAAAGACTTCTGTGGCCAGTGATCTTTAAGAGCTAGAGCAGGCAAGAGCAGAAACTTGGGAGAATTGAGTCTTTATTGGGGTTGGGGATTATGTGCACTTTTAGGCTTATTCAGTATTTCCCAGTTATTCAAACAGGCATCTAGGTAGTACTGAGAAGGGATTTTACAGACATACTTAAGTTTGAAATTAGTTAAATTAAAGTCAGAGTGAGTAACCTGGTGATCCTGCCCTAATCAGAGCAGCCCTTCACTGGACTGGCTTTGTGTAGAGCAAGGAGATTCCAAGAGCAGAGGGATTCAGAGTGAGGGAGGCTTCCCAATGAGAAGGGAGGGTTTGAGAATGGAGTGGCCATATAGCAAGGAATGCTGGGTACCACAGCAGCTGGGGCAGGAAATGGAGCACTGATCTCTAAAAGTGCAAGTAACAGAATTCTGCCAACAGCTGCCAACAGCTATGAGCTCAGTGGAGGACCCCATCACAGCCTGATGAAATCCTGAACACGCTTGGACTTTTCACCTTGTGAACTGTGAGCAAATAAATTTTGAGCAAATAAAATTTGCTTTTATTTGTAAGCAAATAAAAATTTGCTTTTATTTGTGAGCAAGTAAAATTTGAAGCTACTCTGTGGTAATTTGTTAGACGGAAACAGGAAACCAATACCAAGGCTTCACTGTGCAATTAATAAGCACAAAACACTACACTAAAATGAACTTGTGAACTGTCATGTACACTCCTTGCATGAAGTAACATCTTTGCTAAGAAGGATATTCTTTGAATCTGGTATCCTGGGGCTGAAAACTTAATTGCCTTTTAAAATTTATGTTAATCAGTTTCAAGAAAATACTATTATGCATCTTAGTATAATATGTATGTTCACAGGTAACTAGTTAGCACTGTTAAAGGGCACTTTGAATGCACCCAATGCTTAGAACTTTGAGGAAAAATTTGAATATGCTCACTGAAATATGATGTTTAAATAATATATTTTCATTTTTTTGGTTCTTGATGTTGAAGCTTTTATTTTATTTTATTATTTATTTATTTATTTATTTAGAGAGAGAGAAAGAGAGAGAGAGAGAAATTTTTTTTTTTTTTTTTTTTTTCGTTTTCGGCGGACACAACATCTTTGTGTGTGGTGCTGAGGATCTAACCCGGGCCGCAGGCATGCCAGGCGAGTGCACTACCGCTTGAGCCACATCCCCAGCCCAATGCTGAAGCTTTTTGATGATTATTGCTGAGAATTTGAGATACATTTGTTTTTCATTTTTTAATTAATTTATTTTTGATACCAGGGATTGACCGTAATGATAACAACCTCTGCTTGTAACTATACAAGATGGTTTAGTTCACTGCCACCTCATGGAGTCCATGATTCAAGAGGCAGAATGATAGTGAAAGAAAGAGCGTTATTAGGAACAAGCTGGCATTGTTAGAAGATGGTTGGCTTTTGCCTTCTACTTTCCCTAAGAGAGAGTCTTTTATATGATTTTTGAAGGGAGGACATGTAGGACCCAGATAGGTGCCTCAATTTTTCAATGTTTTGAAAAATAGCCTCTTCTGGAATGTGGGCTCCATATATCTTATCTCTTTCACATGTAATCTCTTTTATTTTGTTAACAGTTGCAGTCCAGTGGATCTAAGGAAAATATAAACGTTAGCTGAAATGACTTGTATCTGATATTTGTGGTCAGTGTTTCGGGCAACTACTCTTCCAGGTGTGATTTTTTTCCCCCCATAATTTGAGACGAGGGATTGTTTGATGAGGGAGTTTTGTGCATCCCTAGCTAACTTTAGTGTGCAGTTAATCTATCAAAGATAGGCTTCTTGGGTTGGGGATGTTGCTCAAGCGGTAACATGCTCGCCTGGCATGCGCGGGGTGCTTTGTTCGATCCTCAGCACCACATAAAAAAGTAAAATAAAATAAAGATGTTGTGTCCACCGAAAAATGAATATTAAAAAATTCTCTCTCTCTCTCTCTCTCTCTCTCTCTCTCTCTCTCTCTCTCTCTCTTCTCTCTCTTCTTTCTCTCTCTCTAAAAAAAAGATAAGCTTCAGTGAGCAGGATATCTTTCCTAATGTTTGGTTTTCTGTTTTTTATTTTATTATTTCATTGATGCTTTTAAACTTTAATACAATCCGATTTGTCATTCTTTCATTGAACATCTATTATCTTAGTGTCCACTATGAACCAGGCATGGCTCTATATTCTGGGGATACAACTGTAATTAAAACAGCCCTAAGCCTATGTGTGGGCCTTACATTTTAGAGGTTTGTCCAGAATGAGATGGAGCCACTGGAGCATTTTAAATGAAGAAATGGCACAACCTGACTCACATTTGCAGGATGGCTCACAGAGGTGGGAGAGTAGTCATGGGAGGTGAGTGAGGGCGCAGTTTTAGTGCCCTAATTCAAGAGTGAAGGGTTGGTGGAGACTGAGGGGAGACCAGGGCCTGAGGAATGAGAGAGTCTGGAAAGCAGGGCTGTAGAAACAGGAGGTGAGGATGTGAAGCCCAGCAAAGAATTTTAAAGGTGTAGAATTCTCAGATTTCGGTATGTTTTATAGATTTTTAACAAATACCTAGCTATAGCTGGTGTGGGGAGGAAGCCAAATTCTGGGGATTCCCCACCTCCCAGGAACTTCACTTGCTCATCTCTCAACCTGAGTCAGGTTTTTCTGCCTGGTGACTCCTGACGCGCCCACAGTTCTCCCTGTCACACCAGTGGTTCCTAGAGAAGCCAATCAGAGTCCTCGCCGCGATTCCTGGTAACAAAAGCTGCATACACCCGCAGGAACTCGGATTTTCCCGTCTATGGGGTGTGAGTCATGGAGTTCAGAACCCTGTTCTTGCTGCTTTGGGGGCCTCTAACCCTGACTCAAATCTGGGCGAGTGAGTACGGGGTCCCACGGGAAACAGCCTCTGTGGGTAGGATCTAGGGGACCGACCGCCCGGCGGGGTCGCAGATTCAGGGAAGCGGCATTTCTACCTTGTGAAGCCTGAACTTTTCCTCCATCTCGGGTTCGTCCTGTCCTGACCTAAATTACCGACCATCGGTCCTTCTGCCCCCTTTTGGTCTCACGAGTCCCCGCGTCCCCTCTTCCCATCACCGGCCGATCAACCAGGGACCCCGGTCTGGAGGAGCTCGCACTGGGTCTTAGCTGCTCTCTGTCCTCAGGGTCCCACTCCCTGCGTTATTTCCACACTGCCGTTTCCCGACCTGGCCACGAAGAGGCTTTTTACACCTCGGTGGGCTATGTGGACGACACTCTGTTCCTGCGCTTCCACAGCGACGCCCTGAATCCGAGGGTGGAGCCGCGCGCGCAGTGGATGGAGTATGAGACACTAGCATTTTGGGAAGCGCAAACCAAGATCGCCGAGGCCCACCAGCAGAAATTGCGCTGGAACCTGCGCTCCACCCTCCGCTACCTCAACCAGAGCGAGGACGGTGAGTGACCCGGGACCGGGTGGTAGGGGACAAATGCCCCCGCCCACCTCTTTTGTAGGAGCTAAGGTCCACCGCAGTCTCAGAGACTGTGTCTCATTTCCAGACCACCCGGACACCACTTGGCCTCTTGACTCAGACCCCGCGGGTATTCCCTGGGGTTTCATTTTCCATTTAGGCAGAAAAAGCCTTAGACCCATCCACCCTGTCCCCCTGGCTCCTGGTTGCGCTGGCAGAGTTAAGCACCAGAGGTAAAAGCTGGAGTAAAGCTAATCTGACTTCCGGGGCGGGGCAGGCTCTCACACCTTCCAGTGGATTTCTGGCTGTGACCTTGGGCCAAATGGAAGCCTTCTTCATGGACATGAAGAGTTTGCCTATGATGGTGCGGATTACATCTCCCTGAATGAGAACCTGCGCTCTTGGACCTCATGGAACAAGGCTGCTCAGATCACCCAGCGCAAATGGGAGGATTCAGGAGATGCAGAGCACTACAGGGCCTACCTGCAGGAGGAGTGCCTGGAGTGGCTCCGCAGATTCCTGGAGAAAGGGAAGGACAAGTTGCTGCACACAGGTACCAGGGGATGAGGGGGGCCCGACATAGTTTGGACAAAAATGAAATCGCTAACAGAATACCAGAGGACCTTCCCTCCTCTCAAGACAATTAAGGTATCAAGTCTGTCTTGGAATGGGGGGGGGGGGGAGAAGATCTCTGAACAAACTTAAGAGCACATTGCTTTGACCCTGACAGCAGCCTTGGGTACCACAAGATGACTTTCTCAGGCCTTGTTCTCAGCTCCACATTCAAATTGTTTGAGGTTTGACTCCAGGTTTTGTGAGTCTCTGGGCCTCCATTCAGGTCAGAACCTGAAGTTCCTCTTAGAGACCTGGGGCATCTTTCCCTTGGTAGTCTGATTCTACAACTTTCCAAGGAAACAGAGATTATCTCAGAAGCTTGAGTCCAGGCTGGTGCTTGGGTTTTGCTTTCCTTCCTCACTTCCATTGTCCTGTCTGACTTAGTATGGTCACATGAGCACTGGTTCAGTGGCCATGAGAGGTAATGTAAAATGTCTTATTAAAAAAATATTTTTAGTTGTAGATGGACACAATACCTTTATTTTATGTATTTATTTTTATGTGGTGCTGAGGATCGAACCCAGTGCATCACATGTGCTAGGCAAGCACTCTACCAGTGAGCTACAGCCCCAGCCCCAAAATGTCTTATTTTTCTAATTCTTCCCTTCAGAGTCTCCAAAGACACATGTGACCCGTCACTTCAGCCCTGAAGGAGATGTCACCCTGAGGTGCTGGGCCTTGGGATTCTACCCTAAGGAGATCACCCTGACTTGGCAGAGGGATGGGGAGGACCAGATTCAGAACATGGAGCTTGTGGAGACCAGGCCTGCAGGGGATGGAACCTTCCAGAAGTGGGCAGCTGTGGTGGTGCCTGCTGGGGAAGAGCAGAGATACACATGCCATGTGCAACATGAGGGGCTGCCTGAACCCCTCACCCTGAGATGGGGTAAGGAGGGGTTGAGGGCACAGAGCCTGTTGGCAGGAAAAGCAGGAGCCCTTCTGAAAACCCTCAGTAGGGTCAGGGCTGAGAGCCAGGGGTCAGGGTCCCTCACCTACCTTACCTTCCCTTCCCAGAGTCACCTGCTGTGTCCATCATCCCTGTCATGGGAATTGTTGCTGGCCTGGTTCTTTTTGTAGTTGTGGTCACTGGAGCTGCGGTGGCTGTTATGAGGTGGTGGCGGAATGCAGGTAGGGAAGTCAAGGGTTCTGGGTGTACCTGGTCTAGGCCCCTGGTAGAAGTGAGCTCTGCCTCATTAATGGGAAGCATCATCCATACACACTTGCTGACACTCACTCTATTGTAAAGCACAAGGAAAATAAAGGACAAAATGATCACCATTATGATTGTCATGGTGGGGACCTGATCCCAGCATTCAGAGGGCAAAGGGGTAGGTCCCTGCTGGATACAGACCTCCAGGAGAGTGGTTGGTTAAGTGCCTGGGCATCTCCTATCCTCATGCCTCTTGATCCTTTCTAAGGTTTCCAGTTACAGTTCAGGATTCTTCCCTGGGATCCAGGCCTAGGGGAATCCTCAAGCCCTCATAGCTCTGCCTCCTCCCTGTTTTCTTCTCATAGGTAGAAAAGAAGAGAGCTATTCCATAACTGTTCAGAGGGTGTTGTCCCTGAGACCCTTGGAGTAGTGTAGATGGGAGAACAAGGGGGGGGGGTCCCTCATCTGCCCCATAATTTATTCATTCTTCACATATCTTTTGGATTTTGACTCTGTCTTATTGTTTTTCTGACCCAGTCAACGTCAGTGCCTGGCACTCCAATATTCTGTAGCTCCATAAAGTTGAGACTCTGGAGGGCTTCAAATGGTAGAAGGTGTGATAGAGGAGAATGGAGAAGGTTGTGGGAATTCTCTTGGATCTTGGGTGAGTGCTGGGTTCTTCAGAATGTTGCCACTTAAAGCAACTGCCCTGATTCTGTTCATCACACTTTTGTTCCATAGCAGAGACAGCTGCCTTGTGTGGGACTGAGCAACACAAGATTTTTCAAGCCTTTGTGACTAGAAGAACCCTGGAGTCCCTTTCTGTCATGGATTATTAAGCCATCCACATTCCTATTGGCATAATGTGCAGAAGTGAGACCAGTGCATAGGACCCATGTCCTGCACTGTCCCTTGCCCACTCACCTTTCACCTTTTCTCTGTTCTAGCAGAGTTCAGGCTGGGATGACTCCTTCCCTCTCTCAACATCACTGTGCACTGAGCCACAACTTCTTACTTCCATCCTGAATATAAGAATCAGAATATAAATATTTTTCAAAATCTTGATCCAATGGATAGATTGGTTAATAAACAGAGAAAATTCCAAATTAGAGAGAGGAAATAAGTGGAAATACTGAGAACCTTCTAGAATGTGTTTTCATTGTCCTGAGTCAGCGACAGCTAAAGACAGAAGAAGGCTGTGAGGAGCCCAGTGTGGACAGGGCTGTATCCAGTTAGTGCTCAGGCCATGCTGGGCTTTCATGTGGTCCCTCTTTAGCTTGGTCATCTTCTGTATTCCCTTGTCCTTGTCACTCGGGAGAACGTTGTCCCACCAGGACTTGTGATCACTGGGACACAGACATCACCAGAGCCTTTTGCTGTCAGCCAGACCCTAGGCATCAATGGCTTCCTGTGGCCAGATCAGGCTGTCCCCCTTCATCCTTTGTATTTCCTGTCCCTTAGTTTCTATGGAGGATTATATATATGTTTGTTCTCCCTCCTCCTGAGGTAGCTGGCTTGATGAGGGGTGCCGTAGCCTTTTGAAGACTTCATGACAGTGGCAGCTACATGGAGACACCTTGCAGGCTGAGGCCAGGTTCCTCAGGAGGCTGCACGTGCTCTGAACTAGTGTCTGACATGTGGCACTGTTTCCCCCACAGCCAGGATTCATGGGTCCAGGAATCAAGAAATGGGAATGGGTGTGGCAACTCTTACTATGGCCCCCAGTGACCCACTAGCAATGTATGTGCTTCCTGTCCCCATGACCTTATGCCCTGCTGGCCTGGAGATCTTAGTTTCACAGAAGAAATGCTTCCATCAAGAGACAACAATGAGTTCACTGAATTGGAAAGGACAACTGTCACTGGCCATGTTGGGCTCTTCTTGCTTTGAGTCAAGAGCCCAAGAGTGGAGTTAGCTGGTGGGTCTGAGTGATGGATCCTGGCAGCCAGGGGGACATGGGACAGCTGCTCCCCATGGAGGGAAGGAAGAGAATGTCTGGAATATAGGATTCCCTTAGGGTGCCTCTTAGTGTTACATCCCCTGTGATTAATGTCCATGGGAAACTACATCAGCCCAACCCAGGCAGAACTAAGCGTGGCCAGGACCCTTCAGGAATGAAGGTTGGCATCACCACAGCAGGAGAAATGCCACAGGCAGCTGAACTACTTGGTGAATTGAAGGGAATACGGAATGGGAGGTGGAAGAAGATAGTTATGAGTACCAGCAGCAACACATGACCATTTTCAGAGGAGAGGACTGTAATTTTCATTTGCATATCTTCTTTATTTTATTATGAATATGTTTGTGGTATGTATTTATTAATCACATATACTTATTTTCTTGAATCTCACCCTTTTATATATAACATAAATAATTTTGACTGTTTATCAAAGTATTAAGCATTGTTAAGTGTATATCTTAGTGTTTTGAATTTTGGTATGTCTATCAAGGGGAGGAGGAGAGGACAGCATGGGTGTAGTTCAGTTGTAAGCAGAGAGTCTTATCATATTAGGTGGAAGTATAATTTGTTATTCTCTTTATTTAGATGTACATTGTGATTTAGGGAGATTCTTCTGTGTGCCAAATTGATGACGGGGGAACTGGTGATAGTTAATTTTATTTGTCAAATTGGTTAGGGCCACTATACTCAGTTATTTGTCAAACATATCTCGATGTTGTAAAGGCATTTTGAGATGAAATCCACATTAAATCAGTAGTCTTGAGTAAAGCAGGACACCTTTCAAAATGTGGTTGGGCTTCACTTAATCAATAGAAGACCTTAAGAAAAAGATTGGCTCCCCCAAAGAAGATGTATTTTCTCATCATTGTTTTTGGACTGAAGTGTAACATCAGCTCTTCCTGAGATTCCATCCTGCTAGTCTACCTTGAATATTTTCAAGTCATTGCCTCCAAAATTGCATATGACAATTTCTTAAGGGATCTCTTTCAACAGATAGACAGAAATACATGTAGATACATATCCTGTTAGTTCTGATTCTCTGTAGAACCCTGACTACTACAAGCACAGTTTCCAATGTTCTAACTACTAGAAATGAATGATACAGAAAAGAAAAGGCAATTTCACGGTTATGGTTTGGATCTGAAATGTCCCCTGAGAAACTCATGTACTGGAAACATGATATCCAATATAGGAATGTTCAGAAGTGAAATGATTAAATTATTACATAATCTCAAGAGTGGATAAATCCATTGGATGAATTAATAATTTGAGTGAATCACTGGGTAGTGCTTGACTAGAGAAAGTAGGCCAGTGGTGGTGTGTCCTTGGGGATTACATTTTGGCCGTGGCTCCTCACTCTCTGCTTTCTGGATGCCATGAGGGGAGAAGTTTTCCTCTGCCATGTCCTTCCTCGTGATGTTTCTGCCCTGGAGCCATGCACTCAACCACTGAAACTTCAGTTTTGGTGTTGCTTTGGGAGATTTCATTGAAAAAAAGTCAGTTACCTTCCAGCTGTTAGACCCTTTGTAAACTATGGACAGGTGACATCCAAGCAGAATCTGTTTTTGCCTGAGCAATAATGTTGTGGTTTCAATGGGATGTAGATTTCTAGTCCACCCAGAAACCAGGAAAACTGGAATTAAATGTAGCAATATCTTCTCATCAAGCAATCTGAAGAACTTTTTATTTGCCTAGGTACTGGGAATGATTTTATTAGTTCTTTCTTTAAAAAAAATTATTCTTTAGTTGTAGGTGGACACAATACCCTTATTTAATTTTTATATGGTGCTGAGGATCAAATTCAGAGCCTCACTCATGCTAAGTGAGCACTTTTCCTCTGCGTCACAATCCCAGCCCTTATTTGTACTGTCTTGTATGGCCTTGTGGCCTAATACAAATAAGCTGTCTTTCCAGGGAAGGATGATGTGCCCAAGGCTTGGAATATTTTATTGTTTTCTTTTTAAGATATTCCTTTATTATTATTATTATTTTAACATTTGCAATATACGTACTTGTTTACAAAATATCTCCAATGGCTTTATGTATATGTGTATATATTATTTTTTACTGGCAAAATAAAAACTTTAACAAACACTAAAATAAATCTGTTGCTGTGTACCATATGATAGATGAGAGAATGAAGAGTTTAAACAAAACCTTCCAACAATCTTCTCTCTATAGCAGGACTATTCAACCCATTTTCCACAATATTACATCAAAACTATCATTTACCCAATTTTTCACTAATCTTCATGCAGGGGTTCTTTTTTTCTCCAACAATATCAATAATTAATCTAAATATAAATGATACAGATGTTGTAATTAAGAGTAATAATTGTTCAACCTGTGTAAAAGCAAACAATAACTATATGCTCTATTCATATGTCATCCTTTAAATATTAATACACCAATAGGTTAAAAGCAAAAGAAGGGTAAAATAAGCACAAGAAATCTGAAGAAGAGCTATTAATATAAAATAAATGTCAAGAAAAAGTGTTTTCAGAGATAAAGGGGAACACTTCATAACCATAATAAGGTGACTTCTTCAAGAAAGTATAACAATCCTAAACATGTATGTACCTAATAATAAAATTCCAAAATACATGAAGTAGAAATTAATAAAACTATAAAGACAAATCCACAATCATATTTGGAGATTTTAAGCCCCCTCACTTTGCTGGAAGGAATAATAATATTGAAGGCTTAACAACATTACCAGCTACCTTGACCTGTTTGTTATTTGTTACTTATAGAGAACCACACACACAAAAATGACAAGTAGAAAATTAATAGGGATAGTCTATACTCTGTCATAAAATAAATTTTGAGAAATTTTAAAAATCTGAAATCATGATTGTATTATTCACCATTAAAGTGAATTCTCAATAAAAAAAAAAAAAACTTCCGTTTCAATAAGTTGCAATATTATTGAGAGTGGTGTATGGTAGGCGATGACATAGACCCAAGACTTCGGTGCAATCACAATAGTTCCTTTAAATGATAAGTGTCTTTGTTTTTCCTAGGAAGTTTCACATTTACTTTGTTAAGCATGCCAATTTTTATACTCAAAAGTCATCTTCAAAAATACACACAGATTGCTTTTCAGTTAGAAAACTGTGAATTGTCCCACTGTTGTCATGTATTTAAAAAGTAATAAAATCAATTAAAAAAAGAAAACTGTGAATTGTCTAAAGTGTATACTTCAGTCTATCATTATGACAATGTTGGTAGTCAGAAATTGTTAGCTTGCATCCAGAGACTAATGTTTTTGTTTTTTTTTTTTTAAACTGGGTATTTGGTCGGCTTCCTATAATGAATTAAATGTCCTTCACTATGTTTTTGAATGAAATATGGTAGAGGCTATTTGGACACCAGTGTAATTCTAAAACAAAAACCCCATTAGGATGTGCTTCTAATGTTTTATAAAGCAATTCTATACAGTGGTGGATTTATTCCAACGTGAATAATTCTTGCTAACAATTCTTGCAATAAACTTTGTTGCTTTGTTACCTTTCATGGAAAAATTAATCAGGAATTGTTCACAAATTGTAGTTTGAAAATGCCAGTTTAAGGAGATGAGATCAAGTAAATACCTGGGTGATAACCACAGGCACAAGAAACAGAAACTATGCAGTCTCCTGAGCTGCTGCCTTGTCTCATCCCCCAAATAGAAACTCCATTCTGAGTCTTGGGTTAACTGTTCCCTTCCATTTCTTTAAAGAATTTTACAATATTTGTATCATCCCCAATCAAATGTTAGTTCATTCTGCCTGTTTATAACCTTCCTGTGCAGTGACCTCCTGCTGCATGTGTGTTTCTGTGATGCACATAACATGTAGAAGCCTTATCCCTCCTCTGCAAGGCTGTCTGTCATTCCCTTTATCGCAGAAGTTTTAATTTTGATGATTATACCACCATGTGGTACTTTCCTGTGGAAGTAAAAGTGGTTGATTCCACTCTGCCATAAACATTAGTGCACATGTCCCTGTACACACAGGCAAGAAAGATCTCAAACATAAAATCAGGAATAGGGGGCTGGGGCTTGGCTCAGTGGTAGAGCATTCAACTAGCATGTGTGAGGCACTGGGTACAATCCTCAGCACCACATAAAAATTAATCAATAAAATAAAATAAAGTCATTGTGTCCATCTACAATTAAATAAAAATATTTTTAAAAAAGATAAAGAATAGGATTGTACCATTCAAAAGCATATTTTATTCAACCTAACTGAATAATGCTAATTTCCAAGGTGCATGCAGCAGAGCTAAGGTAAGCCTACCTGGAGGGCAAGTGCGTGGAGTCGCTCCAGAGAAGCTTGGAGAATGGGAAGGAGACACTGTGATGCAAAGGTATGAGCTGCCACAAGGCAATTTCCCCATCTGTGGGGTGGGGCGTCTCCTCAGGAGGGGAGGAAAATTAGATCCTAGCTAGAATACTGTCTCTTTATCTAACAGGGGGGAGATAGAATGCTCCTGGGTTTTCAGATCCAGTAGCAGAGAATGACTCACCTCAGGGCCCACTTTTTCTTCTCTCAGGACAATTGGGAATCTGTGACTGTGAAAAAGAGAGTAGATTCCTGAAATAACCGATCAGCGGTTCCCTTTGATTCTGGGAACAGATTGTGAATCATGACCTCTCTCAGGCCTTGTTCTCTGTGCTACACCCAATGTCTTTGGAGATCTGATTGCAGTGATTCTCAGTCTTTTAGCTTCCTCCACCCAGTCAGGACCCTTTATAACCCCTCAAATACCCGGAGCTTCCTGCCCTGATTCTACAACTTTCTAAGAAATAGATTATTCCTTTTGCCTGTGTGTAGGCTAGCATGTGGGGGTTTGTTGTTGTGGTTTGTTTGTATTTGGCTTATAAGTATATCTTTTACTATTCAAAACACAGTAAATTCCAGCAAAGAGTTGGTATAAGAACTGTTTTATCAAATCAATTTTCAACAGCTTCTTCAGAAGTCTATTGTTGCAGTTAACACACAGGCAAAGCAATTATAACGTGGGGTCCCAAAATATTGTGGTTTAGACTGTGGCTTATTTAAGTCTCACATGGGAAGCAAGTTCAACTCCACACAGTTATTTAAGGATGTAGCTCCTTCCATTTTGTGGTTCTTTATCTTCATCTGCATGGTCAAGTTGAAACTCAGGCACAGCAGCATGGGAAGTAGTAGCACTTACAAGTAGTTTATCCTCGTAAGTTATGAAATGTTAAGTTGATACTTCACTTCTGTTCATGTTCATTTGGTGGTAACAGGCATGTGGCTACATGCAGCTTCAAGTGGTGGTCAGGAAATACAGATTTAGCAGAGCAGGTATTGTTTAGTGTTGGGGTTTGGCATTCCCCTATACCAGTTGTCCTATTCATTCTCAGGTTGGACACTTGAGTGATGCTGGAGTGACCCACAGAGAATTCAGAGTACCTAAAATTTGTCATTCTTCTTCCCAGGTCCCCAAAGACACATGTGACTCACACCCTAACCCTGAAGGAGCTGTCACCCTGAAGTGCTGGGCCCTGGGTTTCTGCCCTAAGGATATCACTCTGATCTGGCAGCAGGATGGGGAGGATCAGACCCAGGACATGGGGCCTGTAGAGACCAGGCCTGCAGGAGATGGAAGCTTCCAGAAGTGGGCAGCTGTGGTGGTGCCTTCAGGATGGGGGCAGAAATTCACATATCTTGTGCAGCATGAGGGGTTGCCCGAACCCCTCCCTGAGATGGGGTCAGGAGGGGATGAGGGCACAGAGCTTATTTTCATGAAAAGCAGGAGCCATTCTGGAGCCTCTTTGTAGGTCAGGGCTGAAAGCTGGGGGTCAGAGCTCCTCACCTTCCCCTCTGTTGGCTTCACAGAGCCACCTCCTCAGCCCTCCGTCTCCATCAAGGGAATCATTGTTGTCCTGGTTCTGGTTCTTTTTGTAGCTGTGGACATTGGAGTTGTGGTGGTTGTTGTGATGAAGTGGAGGAAGAAGCAGGTAGAGGAGGAGCTGAGTCTGAATTTTCTTATTTCAGGCCCCAGGTAGAAGTGTGTCCTGCCTCATTAATAGGAAGTACCACCCACACATACATGTTTATACAGCCTGGGGCTGTTTGCTGAAATCCTATCATAAAGCACATGAAAAATAAAAGACAGATTTTGCACCCTGATGATCTTTGTGATGGGGGCCTGATTCCTAGCAGTCAGAGGCCAGAAGGGAAGGTCTCTGCTGAGGGCAAACCTCTGGGAGAGCAGTTGGTTCAGTGCCTGTAATCTCCTTTCCCCATGCCTCCTAGTCATTTCCTGGGTCTGAAGTCATGTTCTGGAACATCCTTTGAGTGTTAGTACTAGGGGCTTCCTAAAGGGCCTTCATGGCCCTCCTCCTTGCTGGCCTCTCACAAATTGTTTTCTTCTCACAGGTAGAAAAAAGGGAGGAGCTATGCTGAGGCTCCAAGTAAGTATGGCAAAAAGGATGACCCTTAGGATTGCATAGGCAGAAGTCCATGTGGAATATCACCCATCCCATAATTCTTCCTTCAGCCAGTTCTCTTTTGCCCTCTGAATATATCTAGTTGTTTTTCTGTTCCAGGGAGGGACGGTTTCCAGGGCTCTGATGTGTCTCTCATGGCATAAAGGTGAGACTCTGCAGGGCCTGATGTTGGAGAGGGGATGGGACAGAGAAGACCAAACTGGGTTCCAGGACTTTCTGAATTTGACCCTTTTGAGTGAGTGAAGCTTTGTTCAGCTGTTGCCACTAATAGCGCTTGACCTGAATTTGTTCTTGATTATTTTGTTCTGTAGTCTGAGACAGCTGCTTTGTTTGGGACTGAAAGAAGATTTGTTCAAGCCTCCTCTTTGTGACTCTAAGAACTCCTGGATTCTCTTCCTGCAAAGTGTCTAAATGTCTCTGTGTCCTTGTTGGCATAATGTGAGAAGGTGGGGAGACCAGAGCACCCCTACCCACCAAGACCCCATCCCAATACTGACCTATGTTCTTTTCCACAGTCAACTTTCCTGTTCCAACAAAGGTATGACTTAGAGGACTCCATCGCTGACTCAAGTACACTGATCTTCAAGTTTTTATTTCTGTACAGAAAATAAGAATCTAAATATAAAATTGATTTTTAAACAGTTGGGGTTATTTGAAATGAGGGGTTGATTGCTTAATGAAAGAAAAAGATGCCTGAAATTTGAGGAAGGAAATAAATTGGAGCACTGAGAACCATTCACAGCCTGTTTTTGCTGTGCTGAGTCTGTTGCAGGTAGGGACAGAAGACTGTGAGGAGCAGAGAGTGTTTGGGACTGTGCCCAGTCAGTGCTCAGTCCATGCTGGACTTTGGTCATCATCCCTGCTCCTTTCTCTTTGCCCCTCTGGTAAAACTTCTACAATCTGTGATCACAGGGATACAGGAATTGCCAGGACCATGGGTAGGAAGGGCTTTCTGTGGCCAGGTTGTTGGTTAGGGGCTCAGACTCAGGAAACAGATTCAGTATCCCAACAGGTAGAAGAAGATGCAAGAAGTAGTTAGGATAGTAGACATGCTTTATTCAGAGGTGACAACAGCCTCTAGCTTCAGCTTTAGCCCCCAGCCAGTTCCATTTTACCCCCGTTAGTTTAGCCCTGGTTAGTTCCATTTAGCCCCCAAGTCTTTTCCTTTGGCTGTTTTTATATGCAGGCCAACAAAAAAGGCACACTGCCAACTAGTCACATAAGTGGGTGTGTGCTCACAAGCAGAATGTGTATGACTTTGAGTATATATGTTGAATCAGAGTGTTTCTGACTTTGGTTACACACTGACCATAGCATAGATGATTCATGGTTTTGGTCGCACACTAAAAGCACGACATAGCTTGCCAGAAGCCTAGGTGAGGGAGCCTAATTATGGCCATTTTGGGGCCTGCTCCACACTAGGCCAGCCTAAGTTCAGCCCCTGGTGTGGTCTTCAGCCCATGACTTTTGTGTTTATTTCTTGCTTCTCATAGAGGATTATGTCTGTTCTTGTTCTTGGGTATGATGCTGGTCTCCTTGTTCTCTAGTGTCCTTCATTTTTGATAGCAGCAAGAGGAGTTTTTCCTGTCATTGTTCTCATAAGGCCCCTGCAAACAGGAGTCTCTGTGGTATCAAGAGATGAGTTTTCACAGTATGATCTTCTGCCCTCCTTACAAGGTTGCTTCCTTGTTTGTGTTCTTTCCTTCTTTTCCTCAATATTTAAAAATTGAATTATAGATTCTAGGATTAGTCAAGGGGAGAGATCCTGATGTTTCTCTTTTTAAGTAAATTCTTTTTGAAATTCTTTTTCTGCTCTCCTGGCCTACCCCTCTCCATGCCTTTAGCTCTAGTAATCCTAGTGCTGGCTCCTGTCTAGACTGAAGTGTTTATAGGGCAGAGTATAATTCATATTTATATATATTTTGGAAAATAGACCCAAATGTCAAGGACTTTTCTTTGCTGAAGGTGTAAGTGTGAGCATGCACTGTGTAGAGCAGGAGCAGGAGGGCTGTTTTGGGAGGGAGGGTAAGAGGGAGGGCAGCGGTTGTGAG